ACACACACACACACACACACACACACACACACACACACACACACACAAGAACAAAGATCACAGGGGCTGGAGACAGGAAAATATTTCTATGGAGGATTGTAAATGGCTTCTCTTGATAGGATGATTGAGCCACAAGGTTGAGCAGAAATTAGGCAAGGCTGTGGTTGGCAGGCAGGTGGTCCTAACCTTCTGGGGTTGGGGGTAGCTACAGCACGAGGCTGGAAGAAAGAAGGAAAATGATGTGCCAGGCAGTAGTTCGAAGCAACATTAACTGAATTACATTTTCAACCCCCAAGATAGATGCAGATTATCCGAATGACACATCAGAGTGCTGAAGCTCAATAGCTATATGACCATGATTGGAACTAGGCTCTGGAGGGGAGCACAGAAACAGAATTTCAGGATTGGAAGGGAGCTGTAGCCCTGCCACGTACTTCAAACCATACAGAATTTGGCCATCTAGTCCAATAGCCACACTCTGATTTTTAAATTGATGAACAAACTAAGGCCCAGGAAAATTAAGTGATGTGTCCAATGTCTCACACATAAAAGGCAGGTGAATTCATTCCTACTACAACTTGATTAGAAAAGCATGAGCTTCTATTCCTTGAATAGTGAGGTGACTGAAGAAAATAGGAATTTAAAGTGAATTAATAAGGCAATTAGTTGAGTGTAGGCTTTTTTTTTAAACAAAAAAAAAGGTAGAGGGTCTAAAAGGAGGGAGACCAGCTAGGAAGATGCTGCCATAAACTGGCCATGCAATGATGAAGCCTTCATTCCTGGAGACGCATTCTGGTGAGTGGAGAACAAAGTGGGTGCTGAGAAAGCTGGACAGCAGAAGGCAGGCATTGACTGTTCTCATAAAATATGAGAAGATGTTATCTCCTTAGAGCATCTCCATGCCAAGGGTTCAACTCAGATCTTTGCATCCAACATCAGACTTGAATGTTAGCAGAGCCTGAGTTTGTTGGTTTGATCATTGTCTGCTTAAAAATCCAAAGGTTTTTAGATGACTTTTGATCAATATACGTTATTGATAGTTTAAAGAATGAATGACAAGGACAAAAATATTCCCTTTATCCACTAAGATCAAGTTTCCTTGATACTGCATAAATTGTAGGGAGGATGCTTTAAAACAGATGTCTTTACTTAACAGCTTAATAACCTCATTGTCACACAAGGACTAAGAAATGCCACATTGCTCAGGCCCTGGAATCCAAATGGAGTGCTGGAAGATGCCCGCCACCACAGATGGCTCTCTACCTCACCCAGTTCCAATCTCACCAGAGCCTCTGCACCATACTACAAGCCCTTTCATTTGAGATTTGCAGCAGGAGAGTGTTTTGGCCATCACAAGCCCATCCTCTGAAAGGATAATTCCATTGGAACACAAGAATGCATCATGCTGAGGTTGGCTCTCACCCCTCCACTTAATCTCAGTGGTATTTCTGACTGCTCACCAGGTCCCAATCCTTTCTTCAGCTCACTCTTCTTCCTAGCCTCTTTTCATCCTGCATACTTTTCTTTCCAGAGCTCATCATTTCAATAACACTCTTCTCATAACCCTACACTCTCCTGCCCTTTGGTCTTCACTCAACTCAAAATGAACTCAGTTACCTGCTTTCTCAGTGCCCACCCTCCAGAGGCAAGCACTGCAGGAGAAAGCCACAGAATAGGACAGGTAAGTATCATCAGAACATCACCTTCACCAGCTTCAGATGGACTCACAACACTGCCCCTCAGTCCTACATTTTTCCTGTCTATTCACTCTCATGCTATCCTACTCTCCACAATGACTATTTCAAACATTCCCCACTTTCTCCAAACCTCCAACTTGTTTACGCTGCTCCTTGTCAACAGACATTCAGAGCTCCAACTTTTCAGAGAAAATTAAATTAGTTGAATGGGAGCAATTCCTACTTCTACACTTTTGCACCAAATCTATCCATACCATATTTCCCTTCTGTTTTCTCTCTAAGGCTAGTCCCTCTGCAATGTTCAGGGTCTGATCCTCTCTTGCTTTCAACTGGTATAGAAACTTACGAGTTTTCCCTTCTCTGTACTGTGATTGAACAACTCCCTGTCAACTGTATCCTACCTTTTAATATTCAAACACACTCAAGCCCCTCCCATGTATAAATAAGAAGATGGACTCTCCTTGAATGACCCCATATCATCTTCCCATCATAACCACATTTCTTAAAGCTTTTGTTTATATTCCCTATTGCTTTCCTTCATGTCTATTTAATCTTCAATCCATTCCAGTGAGAATTCGGCCACCATCGCTCTATGAAAATCAAAACTGCTCTAGTCACCAGTGACCTCCATGCTGTCACATCCAGTGGACATTGGTCAGTCCTCTTCCTTGTCCTCACAAAACTTCATGACATGGTTGATTGTTCCTTCCTGAAAACACTCTACTTTCTTGGCTGTTCATCTGACACTGGATGCTCCTTCCAGGAACACGTTTTTAAAAGTAGTGTCCCTTTCCCTCTAGATCCCCTTCAATAATTAACTCATTACTGAGCCTCTCCCATATATGGGTTAGATTTCTTGTTTATATGCATGGATACAGCTGTATTCTTTTCCTCCAAAGAATTGATTTTAATTTGTGATTAATCTTTTATTAACCGAAGTAACCAAAATATGTCCTTTCTTCTTCCATTAGGTTGTAAATTCTACAAGAGCAGTTCATCATTGTGGTGCCAATGTCTACTCAATCCAAATACCTAGCAAATGTTTGATGAAATTTGTTGAATTAATAAATGGATGAATTAGCACTTCACATCTTTCAATGGGCTGGAAACTTAACCATTAGACAAGACATAAATAGCAAGCACCTAGAAAATAAACATGATAAGATATTGACCTTTATCCTAGTACCTATGGTCATCTTCCAACATGGCAGGTATTTCAAAAAATGACTGACTAAATGAATGGAAAGAACCCACTAACAGAGTGAGAGATCGACTAATCATGTAAACTCCTAGGCAAACTCCCAATTTAAAAGATCCATAGGCCTATGTATCGTTCTTGAATAGATAATAAAGCATTCAAGTTCGTAGCAGCAACTCTTCCTTCTTTTAAGAAATGAAGTTTGGTTCAGAGTCGATTATATTACCCATCATAACCTCAAAATGTCTCCAATAAAAATAATAATAATAATAATGTACATAGAAAGTCTACCACAATATATTTTTTCATAAATACATAGAAGGAGAGGGAGGAGACTCTTATTCTGTTACCCAGAGTTCAGATTTATCTAAATTTTGTTCTAATGAGCATATTGTGTACATTATAAAATGTTCAACAAGAATGGAATTTTCTGATAGCTGGCTCAAATCCTGCTTCATTCCTCTCTTGGTCTTTCACTGGATATGCCCTCTTGTCAGCCTTTCTTTGCCTCAATAGACAAGGAAAACACAGAGCAAAGCTGTTCAGTCAAGCAAAGTGTTCATTTTTGACAAGTTGAATGTCACACACTTTGTTCAAAGAAAATATACATACCTGAATTATACAGTTAACAGTCTCCTCCTTGAGTAAAGCCATTTCAGTAAAAAACCAGTCCACGGAGACATGTGGCCTCAACTATTACAAACTGTTAAATTATGTACATAATTTAAAAATGATAGGAAGCATAAAGTAGTATGTTTATCTCTCGCAGAAATGACTCAAAGCCATATTTCAAGAAAGTAAACGCTGGAAACCAGCAGATTTACTTACTACTTGCCCCAATGTAATGTCTGTTGTAATTCTTTTAGATGAACCTACAGATTTTTCTTTAGCTACTGTATTTCTAGATTCTTAAATTATAAGCATAAAGGTTAGCTGATACTAGATAAACATAGTTGTATGAATTAACATCCAGATCAAAATATTTTGGATTGCCTCTGCTTCCTTATAAGGGGAAAACACAGTGTCTCGGGAGGGCTGTAACTTATCAGCAGGCTTATCTTTCCATCCTATAACATGGAGCTCCGGAGGAGGGTTCGCGCTCACAGTGATCCCCTGGCATTTGTCTGACTGCATTCACGATAGCGTGTTCGTCATGCGCATACTTAATCTCTTGATGTTGGCTTGCAGGAGTCTCAAATATAAAATGTGACAGCATTTGTTTTTCTTACCACAGAAAAAATGACATCACAAACTGTTAAGAGGTTAAGCCATATATTATGGCTTCTTTCAGAGTCACTGTTTGCGTCATAGACTGCCCAACAGGGACAAAATCTAACACATTTAACATTCCTGAATTTAATAACATATATAAGCTCGTCTGGGTGAGGTCCATTGGGTGTGGTTTTATCACACAGAAAATCTTATATAATAATAACCTTTTTAAAAAATTGTCATTCTTTCTCCATGTGTTGAAGGATTTGTCCAAATAATACAGCAAAGGACAACAGATTATGAAGGAATAAAAAAATCACGTTTAAAAACAGACATAGGAATTCCGTTTCTTTGCTCTGGAGACCTCAAACTGTTTACCTGAATGGGCGGCAAGTGTTCCATACTTCAGTATGTCAACAAAAATATTCAGTTTCCGTTTTATGTTGGCCAGTATGAAAATATGTAAAAGAAGTAAACTATATGATCCCTGTTTTTTGCAAAGCACACACAATTAAGTTTCACAAAATACATTTATGAAAGAAATGTATATCTCCAAAATTTTTGTTCTCTATTATAGTATATACCCTTTGAGAGCAGAGTATTCTGTTCCAGTCATTTTTCCATTCTGTTCCAGTCTTTTTTGCTTAGTACCTGCCATACAATGGGCACTCAATAAATGTTTGATGAACTGCACTGAATATTTATTTATTCATTTATTTATTTAGTTTTGAGACAGAGTCTCCCTCTGTCATCAGGCTGGAGTGCAGTGACACAAACCATCTCAGCTCACTGCAACCTCTGCCTCCGTGGTTCAAGCAATTCTCCTGCCTCAGCCTCCCAAGTAGCTGGGACTACAGGCATGGACCACCACGCCCAGCTAATTTTTGTATTTTTAGTAGAGACAGGGTTTCACTACATTGGCCAGGATGGTCTCAATCTCTTAACCTCATGATCTGCCCGCCTTGACCTCCCAAAGTGCTGTGATTATAGGCGTGAGCCACTGCACCCAGCCTGAACATTTATTCTAATGCAAACCACATTGATGGGTACTGTGAGGAATAAACACTGATTCTATACTTATGTCCAGCTTCCTGAAGCCAAAGTCAGAATATTTCAATGATCAGAACCCTTACTTCTATAAAGTGCTGATATGTAGTTTCTAAGGCATAATCAAAAATATGGTCGAGGAAGTAGTTGTGGTTTACTAGTTAGGTGTTAGCCAGCTAATTCAACATATTTTATAGGGGTTTTCATATATATAAAAGTATGCCCTTCAAAAAACAAAATATTCTGTGTGTTTTAGTATGTTTTGCTTTGCTACAACATCATCCAGTACAATAGCAGCTCATGTTCTTTCTGCTCTCGGCATACCTAGAAAACTGGTGGATCAAGTATAGTTGTGTACTTATTCTAAACTCATATCTGAAGTTCCTTGACTGTGTTTCAAGGTCTCCAAAAATAAGTCCTGGAAGCTGGATGTCCGTGTTTTACAAAATCACATTAGCAAATACAAGAAAGGTAACTTACTGTCATCTGTTTTCCAAGTAACAGTATACTTCTCAGTTGTCACCTGTCACTGGATCTGGATAGCAAGAGCTTCTGCTTACTATAACCAACTTTTATTTTTTATTTGAAATCAGTGTTCAAACAAAAGGAAAGCAGGGCTGTTTTGAACTATCATTCTCAGTTTCTGTAGAAGCAGCTATATAGGTGGTAACATTTATTATATCTCTGGTTTATTATGAAAGAAATATGTTTGCATATATGGACGCAATCCTTTTCAGTTTTGCTGGAAAATCAGAACTTCAACAATGAGTCTCCAGAAAGCACTGGAAATTCATACAATGAGAATAAAGACATGAGAGCACAGGATTTTGTCTACTTGGTTTGCTTCTCATGAACAACATAGTAAAATAAACTTCAGAGAATTAAAATGAATTGTGGTATAGACTATAACTTTTTCTTTTTGAGACAGAGTCTTGCTCTGTCTCCCAGGCTGGAGTACAGTGGTACGATCTCAGCTCACTGCAACCTCCGCCTACTAGGATCAAGCAATTCTTATGCCTCAGCCTCCCGAGTAGCTAGTATTACAGGCACCCACCACCATGCCCAGCTATTTTTTGTATTTTTTGTAGAGATGGTGTTTCACCATGTTGGCTAGGCTGGTCTCAAAGTCCTGACCTCAAGTGATCCACCTGCCTCGGCCTTCCAAAGTGCTGGGATTACAGGCGTAAGTCACCGTGCCTAGCCATAGAATATAATTTGAAAGCAACTGTTACTTTCGGCCCCCAAATTAATGGCTGATGACTTTTAGTTTTTCTCCTAACTGGAAGCTAAGCACTACCAACCAAAAAAAAAAAAAAAAAAAAAAAGCACTGGCAAGAAAATGAAATTCAATCAGAAAAAATCAGCAAGATTCTTGGCAACAATAAAATGACCATGTTTTAGAAGATACTATTGATCTTTGCTGATAAGATTAAATGACCCAAACTGTGAAAAGCACTTTGTAAAGCAATGTTAAAAAACATTTCACCCATTATTCAGTAGTATACCATTACATTGCAAAAGACTTTATGGCAGGTAAGAAAGACATGTTTTAAAATAGACATGACATGAAAATCAGAAAGACTTTTAATTGTTGATGAGAACACTAACGTTCTCAGGGAATAGAGGTCAGTGTGAGATTACTGGGATATTTCAGGTTCTTCTTTGCTTTTAGGTATCATTTGAATGTTGTTTCTTGGAGCACAAATTAACTTCGTAATTGAATAAAACAATAAAGATATTTCCATTTAGAAAATAATGGATGAGAAACAAAAACAAGAATATAGCCTTAAAATGGCCTTTTAAAGCCAGAGATGAACTTAGTACAAATGCATATCCCATAAAAAACTACAGCTACAGATTTGGTGCTCACTACAAAGCCTGACAAAGCACTACAGCCTTGATGAAAATTAGAAGTTTCATAGTTGTTTTATAAATCTGGCCTCAAATAGATTTTATCATGTATGCCCTTAGGCTTATTAGCATAGAGTTACTAGCAAAAAGTGATACAGTAAAAAATTGATAAAGGAAATTATAGTTTGGCATTTATTATATCTCTAGGCATTTACTGTATCTAGAAAACTATAATTTCCTTTATCAATTATTGTATCCACCTCTTATAGCAATATTTCATGAAAATGTGTTTTTCTCTTTAAATTGCACTTTTAAGTTTTTCAAAAAGAAGATAAGACATAAAAGGGAACAGAAGAGGAAATTCAGAATTGAAGGTGAGGCAATGGATAGTACATACACCATTACATTACAGTGTGTGATGGGTTCTATAAAGGGGACAGCCTATTTGTATATAGGGCATGCAAATTGTTACCTTGATCAAGGGCCACATAATGAGAGAAGAGAAGAGCATCTTCTCAGTCTTCATCAGAGCTTTCCACTGGGTTCAGCCTCAGAGATGTGATGTTGAGATCCCACAGCTGGCCTGAATCAGGATCAAGAGGCATATTAGTTAGGGATGGGTAATAGTAACTGCTGTTAATAGATAAATCCCCAAATCTCTATAGCATAACGTAATAGCTGTTTTAGGTAGTTAGTTAAACTTTAGACAATAGCATGACAGTTGGAAATATGTGAAAAATCCTTTAAGAAAGTCAACAGAACATCAGAAAACTGAGTATTTCTATAAAGAGTTATCTGGAGTTAAAAGATAGACATTGTCATACATTAGTAACAGCCTAAGGGAAATTCTTTAGGAAGCCTTATTTGACCTCCTCTCCCCCACAAGACTGGGTTGGGCATCTTCCCAAGTGCCTCCACTCAACTTGTACTTCCCCTCTTAGGCTGTCCCTGTTATAGTGCCCATCACATGCTGTAATGTAATGGTGTAAGTTTTCATATCCTTAACTAGGCTGTAATCTCCCATGACAGCAAGAATTACATCTTCTCACTCTTGTCTTCCCAGTACGCAGAATGGTACCTGGCACGTAATAAGTACTTATTCATATTCATTGAAGGAAGACAGGAATGGAAGAAGGAAAGGAAAAATGGAGAGAGGGGAGAAGCACAATAACTAAAAACGATGTTAAACCTTAGAAGATAAAGATGAGCTATAATTTTTGAGGGTTGTGTAAGACAGTCAATTAATTAGAAAGCAAGTCACAGAAATCTGATAAATGCCCAATTCTAGATGCCACTATGCTAGAGGAGGAAAACAGGAAAAAAATAATGTAAGTTTCATTTTTGCTTTTAAGCTTATCACATTATGTGCCACTATGTGAAAATAAAATATAGGGAAAAAACATATTAGAATTAACCTGCCAATCTTCATTTATTTAATTATAATATATAAAAACTTTACTTTGAAAATAAATGTTGTTTGTGCCTGTTTCCATCCCCTTCCACAAGGGTAAAAAAGAAAATTTGTGAGCAAACATGCAAGGCAAACAGAGCCTCCCTGAAGCCCTTGTGCCTGAGATATTGCTACTTAGAGTACAGAAATGTATTTATCGAGCTACATGTGCAAATTATGGTGTTGGCTGTGCAAACAAAGCCATGTTACTTAAGTCATTGATGGAACCAAATTTGGAGTCTTTTCAAAGTCTAAAACAGTCTTATCAGAGATTATAAAACTCTTTACTAACATTCATCTTAAGTGAATTCTAGACTTAAGAAAATAAAGTATGAGGCTTATAGGGATACTTTATAAAAGAGTGAAAGTTGTGAATTATTTCAGGAATTTTCTCATTTATGCGACATTTGTCCCTTCCTAAATATTTCCACATACATTTTATTTTGAGTCAGTTTTCCTTTTGAACTTAGTCCTTAAGATCTCAAATAAAATCAATACACGAACTGAGCAGTATCTCCAAAGAAATGCTTATGGACTATAACCCATGCTACATTAACATCTCGTATATTCAAAACTCCAGCCTTTGTGACCTTGATAAGGGAAATATTTATATATGTTTAAAATACATACAACTAGGAAGAAGTTTTACTAAGCATGGAACGACATGTTTCATAGAAATATATGAGCTTGAGATACTCTGGCCAATTTGTCAACTATATATTTACATTTTTGTAATGATTTGATGTAATCCATTATATCTCTCAAGTTTCATTACAGGTAACATTTCTTGCTATTGTATTTCAGGTGTAATTAAATTAAATTCTTAGTGTTTGTCCATGTGTGGTCCTTTGACCATCGGATCAGAATCACCTAGGATGCTTGTTAAATGTGCCCACTCTCAGCTCCTGCCTACCATCTATAAATCCAAATCATTGTGTGTTTTCTAACAACATCTAAGACTCTCCCTTCTCTGTTTTAATGTTTCAAAAATAAAACGGATAAAAAGTGAATAAAAATGGATTATGTGATCAATATAGATCATAGATTCTTCTAAACCTCCCAAAATATTTCAATCTAATATGAATGTACACAAAAGAGAACAGATGGGTTCACTGTTTTGGATTCTGCTGAATGACAGGAAGCTTTAGGTCTTCCCTAATGTCATTTGCATTCCCCGAGGCCATCAGAAAGGAATCCGAAATGGACTTTCCAAGAAGAGGGTGTGGAATCTGAAATCTTGTTTCTTTCCAAGATCAGGGTGGCTGCCCAGAGGAAATCCCTCACTTTAGGGGATTACATTCCAGTTTCTAAATGTTTGGAAAACATGAGTTGATGAGCAAGATGGAGAGTTACAGAGAAAATGAGGATGATCTGAACCATGAAGGATTCAGCTCGTTGATTTGGACACAGTGCCTGGCTTGAAAGGCCAATGTTTTATTACTTGGCAGGGTTCCCATTACATGTCACTCTTTACAGCTCGCATTTTCTAGTCCTTTCAAACATCAATTCTGTAAGGCCTCACATTCCTTTTTTTCAGAAATTCATGGACTAAAGACAGACTTTACAGGTACTGGGGAAGTTCCCTCCCTATATTCAGAAATGAATGAAAAATGCTAGGATCATTAAAATTTCTCTATCTGAATTTATTGTTTGTTCCTAATGATTCTAATGATGCTTTTAAAATACCTAAAAGCATCATAATACCAGTCCAGATGACAGTTTTCACCATTGTTGTTATGCCTGTAAAACAGGGATGGTAAACATTGATAGTTTCAATGGGCAGGCAGATAGATGAGTAAGTCATGTACAAGATGAAAGGCAAGTGGAACTATGGCAAAATGGAGAATCAATGTCTGGTCTGAAGGAATTTTTTTAAATTGCACTGACCAAACCAAATAGTAGTCTTTTAATACTGCTGGCATGGATCCCTGAAAAAGATTTTCAAAACTTTCTTCTAAAATACCTACAATGATTCAGAAGAAAAAAACACAAAATCCAACTATGGTGAAATGGGTACTATCAGTCAAGCTATTGCCGGAATTTGAAAAGAATTTCTACTAACTATGAGACAGATGGAGTTAAATGGAAAAAACCTCATGGTAGACCTGCCTAGAAGTCCATAAGAGAACTATGTTTCTGTTTTCACTGTCAGTCCCTGGGGTAACCTCTAAAGCCTACTCCAATCGCAAAAGTGAGGAATTATCCTTGCTCCAAGTGATTATTTTCTGTGCAAGGAAAAATAGAGCAGTCTGATTCCCTTTAACTACCTATTTACCGTTCGAAGACTACAACTTTCAGGAAGAGGCTGAGCAGGAAGTGGGAAAGGGAATTGTGAAAAGCTCTACCACTTGTAAACATTTCTTTACATATATGTCTCTATTTACTAAAGTGAGTTTCTCAAGAGACCAAAGATGACAGTTTACATGGTTTTGAATAACAGTGGACTAACACAGCACCTGGTATACACAGGGAGTCAATGAATATTAGTTCAACAAATTAACAAATGAATGAGTGTGAAGAGTAGTGAAAAAAAGTTAGTGGAAAGCCCTGACAGTCAAGTTTGTTAGTTCAGAGTTGGCATTTTGCAAGAGAGCATCAACAAAAGGTTTTGAGCTCAAAATGATTGAAAAGAAATTATTGGAGGAGCCACTAGTGCTCTATGTACTAAGGCAAGTAGAACTGGTCAATAGATGAGAGTGATGGCTCAAATAACCAAAGTATATACAGTGGCAGTTTAACAAGTAAAACTGCTTGCTAAATTGCCCGACTATGTAAATTTTAATTCAAAAATGAACATTTTATATAATTAAGAAGTAAATTCCACAAGGAGGCTTTCCAGGTCCCTTGTAAAAAATAGGAAAAATAACATTTGACTGTTCTGTTCTACTTGGATAAATAAATTTTATTTTAAATAAGTTCAATGGATTGCACCATTATGGACTTAGCAATATTAAGGGAGTCAATAAACCTGAAATCTGTAGCCATTTTCCCACCTGAACTTTTTTTGTGTCATTTTAAGAATCTTCAGCTCTCTTGTGTCAGAGCCTTTATGAGTCAAATGGAGATATAGATTTGACCCCCTCATGGGAGTATGAAGATTCCTGATAAAATAAGAGTGAAATACAGAAGTTCTCAGGCATCTGAATTCATTAAATCCCTTTGAACACTGTAGATCACTATGTTGTACCTCTTCATATCTGAACATATTTAATATGATTATTAACCTGCAGGGTAACCTGTGACCCAAAGAAGAGGTACAAAGCATATTTTATTACAAATAGCAGGATACAATGAAGGCTAGCTACTTGTCCATCTACGGAGTATGTAGGAGTGGGGAGGTGATAGGAGAGAGTGGCTCATATTTTCCTTTTGGTCCATTTGTGGACATTTCATCACAGCCTGTTGGTTCCTGGACTACTCTATCGCTTCCAGCTCTTCAAGAACAACTGCTAACGTGTGGTGGGAGTACGATTTAGAAAGTTCTTAGACACCTCTAGTTCTTTAACCACTTTGCTAACTAAAGCTTTGACGATTTGAACTGAGTCTGTTTCTAGTCAATATGAAAATTTTAAAACAATCTTTAAAAGAATACCATTTCTATATCAAAATAAAATCTCAGATTTTTTAAAGGTATAGTTGTAACACTGACATTCACTAAAAATAAATAATGCTTTTATAATGTCTAGTCAGCTAGAGCTAAACCCACCTTCAGGAGGAAACAAACAAACAAACATGGTATCTATCCATGTGTACAACAGAAGCAGCCAGAAATTCAGTCCGAATGGAGACATGCAATATAACAGCCATACAGCAATGACATTCTAAAAGGAAGAAAAGTCATAATTATTAAGTAATTCCATCAGGATTAGCATTAACAGTAATCTGGGCAGGAGTTTTTAATACCCAAATAGTTGGCTCTCTGAAGTTATCAAACCAGAGAGAGCTTTGTATTACAGGCAGATTTACGGTCATCTCCTGGGCATTAGGATCAAAACTCCTGCTAAAATATTTATATGTTATTTTATCAGATCAGATCTTTAAATTCACAGCATACTCCCATACTTGTCTGGAGTTCAAAAAAAGGTTCTTTTAAGTAAACAGTAAATATTTTCATATCTAAAAGCTCAAAGAAA